GTTCCATTTGTTCTGCATTTTCACCAGCACTTGGTATTGTCAGTACATTCTCTTTCTGACCTTCTAACACGTGTAGTGATTTTTTCATTTCCCTGTTGGGTTCACATTATATTCTTAGAACTGAGAGGGTCCTGGTTTACTCCCTGCCTCCCAAAAGTGTAGTGGTTGTGTTGAAAACTCCTTGGTAATAACTCATTGTAAATGTATTTAAGATAATTCCTATCATTAATTGATTATTGACCTAATGTTTACATTGACCCAATGTTTTATTTCTCTTATTTTGGCCATGGAGAAATGGATACATTTTGATCTGTAAGAATCAGAGGGAATTTGACTGCAGCTCTAAGTGTGCCCTGCTCAGAAGCACCTGGCTCTGCCTGGGTCTTGGCTCTTTACTATGCTTGCAAGTCTATGTCTGTGGATGCCATCATCTGTCTTTCTTGTGCATCTTAAGTTCAATAGGAAGCCCATACCCACCTTGCCTTCCTGGGGTCTTCAAGGGTGCCCTGCTCTGTGGTCACGTACTCTGAGGCATCAGCCCTAAGCAGCCTGTCCATGGTGGCTCTTTGGCTGGTAGCCTGCTCTGCCTGGACGCCAACCTGGCCTACACCCTTCTCTTTGGGCAAGCAGTGGATATGCACCTCTGCCTCCAGGGTCTCTTGCTGGGTTCTGCCAGTGAGCTTGGGGGCCAGCTGCCTGTGAGTTGTGTAGGAAGAAGAAAGAAAGAAGGCCAAGTTCATTCCTGAGTCTGCCCTTCAGTCCCTCTTCAGATACTTAACCTGGCCATGTTCTGGGAACCCCATGGGGGAAGTAATGGGTTTAAAAATGGTATCAGGCCAGTGTCCATGCCAGGGAGCAGCTGACCCCATCTGTGCCAGTACCAGGGGGCCAGGGGCTGTGTAGGAAGCAGGACAGGAGGAAGAGCTCATGCTGCTGCTGCAGCTACACTTGTCCCTCATCCCCAGGAACCAGGTTTCCTAATGAGCCAGGTGTGGGAGGGAACACAAAGAGGGCCAATTTAGTTGTTGTTACCATCATACCTGCAAATTCATTCTCTCTTGCTTAGTTCTCTCCTATCCCCAGATGAAACCTGGAAATTTTGTGTGGCTGCTCCAGTTGCTTCTCCTGGGGGCTGTCGGGCTCCGACCACTTCTCTGTTTCTCATGTCACTGCCTCCTCATTCTCTGGCTGCCATTTGTGGCCCCCTGTACAGTTGGCACAGGCCAGAGAAGAGAGGCCAGAGGGTGGCAAAGTCCTTCTTGACTCTTCTTTTGGGTGCCTACTGCACTTGGCAGAGGCCCAAATGCTGACCCCCATTTCTATGGAGGTGCTTTTGCAGGTCTTGGGACCTCCCCACAGCTGACTGTCTCTATCCTCATTCCCTGGACAGAGCACCCAAAGCTGATGTCTTGTGACACGCCTTCTGGCCTGGCCTCTGGAGTTTGCCCTCATTGTAGCAGAGTCCTCCTGAAGACAGCCCAGCTCAGGCCTCATTCCAGGGTTAACTCCTGGTGCTCAGAAAGCATGCACGTGTAGCTCTTAGCACTGCATAACCCTCCATGGCTCTGAGGACTTAGGAACTGGCCAGTCTCAGCCTTCACAGCCTTGGGGAAGACACTGGGTACCAGTCTCCAAGGCCCTAAAGCCCCAGAGATACCCCATATCACTCAGCTCAACATGAGGAGAGAAACCTCTTCCCTTTGCCCAAAGACAACCGAGGCAAAATGCAGAGACACTGATAGCTTGCTAAAAAAAAGTCTCTCTTTTGAACTTCTGAACCCCATGGGGGAGGTGGGAGCCCCATGGCAGGGGACCCACTCCTGGAGGGAGAGAACATACTGGCATTATTCGTTAGCTTGACCATACAAGAGTAATCCAGAAGGAAAGGAAAGGTGAAAAGACCAGGTGAGACAGACTAAAAGCTCATGTCTCATGCAGAGATCACACATGTTTGTAAAACTAACATGTCAGAACCAAAAAGACTTCATTTCTAGAAGTTCCTTGCCTCCTTCTGGGATTTACCTGCTGCTGTGGGACCATCCTGAGCCCAAACATGGTCCTGTGGGCTGCAGACATCAGGCCAGAAAAATCTGAGCTCTGGCATGTGAGGGGTCATGGGGGTTAGTATTTGAGCTCCTGGAATCATTAAAAACTCAGGAGAGGGGCGCCTGGGTGGCTCAGCTGGTTAAGCATCTGACTTGGCTTGATCTTGCAGTATATGAGTTTGAGCCCTACATCGGGCTCTGTGCCGACAGCTCAGAGTCTGGAGTCTGCTTCTGATACTGTGTCTCCCTCTCTCTCTGCCCCTCCCCTGCTCATGCTCTCTCTCTCTCTCTCTCTCTCAAAAATAAATAAACATTAAAAAAATTTTTTAAACTCAGGAGAAACCAGCCATGAGGGCTTGGACTGGGCAAATGACCAGCAAAGGGGGGTGCTCCTGAGAGCCTGTCAGGTGTCAGATTCCCCACCCACATCAGGTATTGTCCATCCCTCCCTAACACCTCTGTACCCCCTGATGGAAGAGGACACTAGTAGCTTGTGTGATGCTTATTGGATCCCCAAACCTGCTGGTTCAAGTTGCAGTGGAGGGGACTAAAAAAATATCAAGGGATCTCTCGGGGTGAAAAGTGACATCTTTCATCTAATACTCATTGCTCCTGACTAGACACATTTTTACCTTTATAACTGAGACCAAATTGGTGGTGAAAGGGTTCTGAGGAGGGGGTGCATTTGGAGGTGCATGAGAGCTACAGTTGGGTTGGCATGTCTCAGTCACACCAGAGCCGCCTTCTTGTGAGCTGAGGAGAGTGGGTAGCTAGTCCAATGCCTTCTGTCTCTCCTCTACTTCCCCAAAGCCTAAGAGGAGAACAGAGCTGTGGCTCATCAAAAAGGAGGCCTCTCTGCTGGGGTCCTTCCCCTACTGAGTTGGCAAACCTGAGTCCCATGGGAAGGAGACAGATATGAACACCAGATATGCCACTCCTTCTGCCTGTCACTCAGCTTTGGGCCCTCTTGGTTCCTGGGGAGTAGGAGGAGCTTGGGCCTTAAGAGTTAAGTTACACCTGATCAGCAGTGTGAACATAGCCTAAGTGCCTCCTGGATGGGGGAACTCTGGGGACACAGGATGTGGTGATAGTTATTATTGTACCCTCCTCCCTCCACTCCAGAAGACACACTGGGCTAGAGTTAATCCACTGTTTTCAATGATGAAAGGGATGCTACGGAATTCTTTAGACACTTCTCAGGCATGACTCAGGAGGCATGGAAAAGCAGAGTGGAGTTTTTAGGAATGAATTGACTCTTCAGAATTATTTGTCCCCAAATGTCCCAAATAAGATAGACTTTTGGTGCTAACATGTCACATTATTAAAACAAAGTGACAAAACCACCCTGTGGGAATTGTGTTTATGGGTTTCTGTACAGAAGCACTTGTCTTTGAGGGTCTCTGATATAGTGCCAGGCCTGAGAAGCCCCAGGCCCTGCTGACAGTGGCTGAGAGCCCAGATGCCAAGATATGGGGCCAGGACATACCACCAGCATGGGCTGTCTACTGGCGTCTGATCCTTTCTTGGTTCTCCTCAGTGTCAACACTCAGGCTTTCTTTCTTTTTTGAGAGAGAAAGAGAGAGAGAAAGTGCACATCTGCAAGCAGGGGAGAGGGAGAGAATCTTAAGCAGGCTCCATGCTCAGCACGGACCCTGACATGGGGTTCAATCCCATGACTCTGGAATCATGACCTGAGCTGAAATCAAGAGTCAGATGCTTAACCTACAGAGCCACCCAGGTGCCCCAAAGCTCAGGCTTACTTGTTTGGCTGAGACTTTTTCTTTTTCTTTTTCTTTTTTTTAAATGTTTTATTTATTTTTGAGAGACAGAGAGAGAGAGACAGCGTGAGCAGGGCAGGGTCAGAGAGAGAGGGAGACACAGAATCTGAAGCACGCTCCAGGCTCTGAGCTGGCAGTCAGCACAGAGCCTGACGCGGGGCTCGAACCCACGAACCATGAGATCATGACCTGAGCTGAAGTCGGACACTCAACCGGCTGAGCCACCCAGGCGCCCCATGGCTGAGACTTTTTCTAAGGCATGAGAACTTGGCCCTCAGCTTCAGTATGAACCAAAGCACATACTGCCTTTGAGATGCTAGGGCCACAGGTTTGGTGGCTGCTTTGTTTGGCCACACTCTTCATTCTCATACTGGACACTTAAGCTGTGTGTTCAGAACAAGCTACTCCCTACACGTGCACAAAGGCAAAACCTTTTTGCCACTAATGTGAATGATATCTATGGAGTTCATTTGAGAGTTGCTGAGCTCACTTAATGACGTTTTGCTCTCACAGTGTGATTTCTTTTTTTTTTTTTTTTAGTGTTTATTTTTGAGAAAGAGAGAGACAGACACACACACACACACACACACAGAGAAAGAGAGAGAGAGAGAGAGAGAGAGAATCTGAAGCAGGCTCTGTGCTGATAGCAGCCAGTCTGATGTGGAGCTCAAGCTTACAAACCATGAGATCATGCCCTGAGCTGAAGTCGGATGCTCAACTAACTGAGCCACCCAGGTGCCCCTCAGTGTGACTTCCTGAAGGCAGAAATTAAATAGACACTTAGATGGAAAAAATCTAAACTCAGCCGCTTGAGGTACTGGTAAGTACAACAGCAGTGTTCAGGGTCTCCCAAGTCACATGACTCCTACAAAGGCTGGCTGGGCAGTTGTCTCCCCAGTACTGTCTGTAATGAAGAAGGGGTGACACTGGTGACCTTCATGCCTCCACCTGCAAAACGCATGCAAGGCTGGGTAAACTTTCCCCCAAATATCTGGCAGGGGTCCAACCGTGCTTCACAACTCTGCCCTGAGTCCTTGAGGAGAATTTAGTGTCTGAAGGCAGGAGGCTTTGTGTCTCCCCCAGCCTGGGGTTACCACATGCTCCCTTGAGCCACTTCCCAAACCGGGTGGCCAGGAGCTCAAGGTGACCATTGGGGAGGGGAAAGGGCAGCACTTACCCCCCACCTGTGCCACCATTCTTGCTGAAGTGCGTGCGTGGCTCGCTGGATGCCAATTTCAGCAGCTCAGTCCACTCCCGCTCCCATTCCTCCTCGGTGTACACCAGCCCTGACTGGCACAATGGAAGCCGGCTCAGGAGGTGGTAGGCTGGCCTCCTCACCCACCCCTCACTCTGGGTGAGACAGGCAGCCCTGCTGAACCCCTGGGTCAGTCCAAGCCCAACCAACATCCAGGCTGGGCACCACCTGCTAGTGGCCACTGACTGCCCCTATGTGCTATCAACAGCATTTCTTCAGAATGCCCAGTCTCCAATTTCAATGCTGTTGGGAGTCCACCCAGCAACAAGGTCATTACCAGGAATGACAAAACATAATACGGACACATACCAGGCTTGGGGTTGACTATTAAACAGTTTAAAGGGATGATGGGCCAAGTTCAGTCAGAGAGCAGGCAGATACTTCTTCTAGGACAGCAAAGTGCTAATGTCCCTCATCATCAGGAAGACTAGTATTCTCTGTGGATCAAGTACATTTACGCAGGAGCTGGGGCTGTAGACTGTGCCAGGACTGCCCTGTGGCTACACCTGACCTTCAAGCTACCATCAGTAGGGACCAGACATAGGTGACTGTGTAATTCATCATCCAAACCAGGACACTTTTTCAGAGTGAAGGTGGATGGTTTTCATAATAATATAAGGATAGGCAGTAAGAATGGACATGTTGTCACTGTGTGTGCCAGGGGCTGAGCTTTTATAATGGGCACCTCTTCAGTGGGTTTAAATGGAGACATCTTTACTAGTCCCAGAAGCTATTGCTGCCTGACCTCACAAGACGGACTTGGCCTTGGGGCCCAGCTCTGGACTTCACTATGGCGCGTGGCTGTGCCTGGTGTGGGTCCTAGGCTCTGGACACCCCAGCAGATACTAACCTCTTTGTTCTGTTGCGTCTGCTGCCACCTCCATCTTCTCTTTAGGGCTTCCCTTTCAGCCCCTGTCCTCATCATGGTGTAGAGAGCTTTCCGCAAAACAAGGTCCCGGTCATGAAACCCCCACATTCCTGCAGCGGGAGGCCCATGAGGAACAGAAGAGAGAGACAAGATATGAGGAGGGGGATAAGTCAGTAGGTGACTCACACTGTCACAAGGTACCAGGCCTGGCCTCCTGCATCCACATACAAAGATAACTCATTAGTCAGCCATCAGTTCTCATGATTAGACAGCAATTCCCCTTTGGGCTTTCTCCATTTCCCATTGAAGAAAGTTGGTGAATGAAGGAGGCTGTCCCCTTCTCAGGAAGCAACAGTGGGTTGCTTCTCTTCGGGACCCTTGGCAAGCCACTTTCAATTTCACAGGTTTTTTTTGAGGGACCTCATGTTCACCCTCCACATCTTGTGTTTGAGTGAGAGACAGTCTCTGTGGATAGGTTGGTGATGTGTCCTCACATGGGGCCTCAAGCAAGGATGACAATAGGAGCCTGGCTTAATCTAGGGTCTGCCACACCTGATGTCTCTGCCCTAAAGCATCTCAGCCTCCTGAGCAGCAGAGCATCAGTGGACACCACTGAAAAGATCTAGAACTAAGAGAAAGTACCTACTTTTGAGGTAGAATGTCTTTCTCCCTTACCTCCTCCCCAGCCTGTGCTGGGCCTTGAGGGATTATAAGGAAAACCATCTATTTCTGAGTACATTGTTGAGGCAGGTCAGATGTGGTCAAGAGACCCAACAAATGGAAGAAACTAATAAGAGGTGCAGCTCTGGCTGTGGGGAAAGAGCGGGGAAATCTATCCATCTGTCCATCCATCTATCCATCCATGCATCCATATCCATCCATTTAATCATTAATTCTATTTAATTAATTCCAAACTTATTTCATAAAAGGGGTGAGACACCATCCTGGTTGTTGGGAATAACCACAGCAGCAATCAGGGCAGACTAAGTTCCTAAAATCTCACAGAGCACACACTGGGGGAAGGTAGAGTAGCCACTGAATTGTCACATAACATACCATCTCAGGGGCAGTGGCACCAATAAGGAGAGATGAAGCAGGTCAAGAGGATGGGATGCTGGTTGGCATTGGTCATGGCATGAATGGAGACATCAGAGCATAGACTCAAGTGTGTATAGAAGGGAGATGGGCTGCCATCCCAGGCAGAGGGGAAGGCCAGGCACCAGCCCCAAGGGGTGCCCACATGGCATACTTGAGAAATGGCAAGAAGGAAATGTGGCTGGAGAGAGGATCAAGGGGACAAGGTGAAGGGTGAGCTAAGGGTCTCTGGAGAGTTTTCACAAGAGGAGTGACCTGCACTGACCTAATCTTTAAAGGCTCATTCTGGCCATGTATCCTATGGTGCAAAAGTATGCAATAACCAGGGGCTGCTATGGGCTTTCCATCAAGAGAGGCTTTTATCTTTTTCTACAACATAGATGGATGGCAGTGGCCATTAATGCTCCTGTTATAAACAGGCTGAGCTGATCTTACTCATCCCTCAGACCTGCCTGCAATCTCCTCTCAGAACTCTCCTACATAGGGCAAATCCAGTCTCAGCTCCATGGCTCCTTGTTTAGGTCTCTTTTGCAGAGAGGTTCTCCCTGCCCCATGAATGTTTGCTTACGAGCCTGGCTCTAGGATACTGTCATTTCTGTGTGTGTCCCACAACCCTAGGTCAATGTCAGGCCTGGACAGCAGGTTTAATAAGCACCCCTGGTCAGTGTTGCATGGCTGCTTTGGGCAGTGCTACCCCTCCCTGTAGGGTTTAGCAACTGGAGTACAAAAGGAAGACAAGGTACCAGAAGAAAAGGTCCACTGGCCACAAGCCCCAGGCTCAGCCATGGCCCAGACTCTTTAGTGGCTGGAGCAAGGCTGGCCCATGAGATACTTTCTCTTCCCAGGCAGACAGGAGGTCCACTGTGCTCACTGAGAAAACGCCTGACCTCAGAACAGACCATAGTGACGTGTGACCTGATTTGTGGCTTTGCCCACCTGTAGTGCTGAGAGGGACAGTGTCTCTGCACACTGCAGTTTCTGAGGGACAAAGGCATTTCCTTTGTAATGAAGCTGTTGTTGGACAAAGATGAGAGATTTCTTCTTTTGTGTTCTTTCGAGATTTTACACACAACAAGGTGAAGAAATATGTTCCACAGCAGGGGAATAGTTAATACATTATGATGAACTATGATACAACTACCAAAAACATAAGACATTCACAATATAATTTTAAGGGAAAAATGCTGGATTCCAAACTGTGAACACTGTGAGATCATAATTTCACTGGAAGAAGAGACAAAATACACCAAAACATTGAAAGCGGACTTTGCTCGGTGGTAGGGTTGTTGATTTTTATTTTCTTACTGTGACAAATGTGGAATACTTTTATAATGCCAACAAACAGAAATATGTTCATTTTGAAATGTAAAGGAAGCAGGTAGGTGGAAGCCTTTGTGTCCCCAATCACCCCTGGCCAGGCCTGTGGAATGCGGCCCATTGCTCTGGGGCTCCATTCCCCTCAGAGGCTCTCAGGCTCCTTCGCAGACCCCATGCATTTCCCTCTGTGGGTTTTAGGCATCTCATCTCTGTCCACCTATCGCTGGACCAGCCTCACTTACAGGGCCAAAGAGAGTTTTGGGGTTTGGCCCTTGCTCTTGGTCATAGCATCAACTGTGTTTACCTGGGAAGGGGAGTCTGACCAACAAGGAATATTCTTGGTCAAACTTGCCAACTAAGAATATTTTCATTTGAAGTTCCCATCTGTGGAGAGAGACCCTTCACTCTAGGACTGAGGGGGATGGCCAGCTCTTGATGCGTGGGTCCCCAGCACAAATCCAGCCCTGCCTGTCAAAACTGATCTGCTTTATATGTATAAGGCTGGGTCTAGAAGGGATGGTTGAGCTTCCAGAAAGTCGTCCATGAGCCCTCAGTTATTCAAATAGTGCTGCTTATGCCTGAGTACCTGCTGGCACGGCTTTTTGTGACCAAGAAGCACACAACTCTGCTGGAGGTTGCTGACCTCTCTGCTGTATATTCCAATTGTGTAGATTCCCCTGTGATTAACCCAAGTGATACCTACGTCTTTTTGTCAGTCCAAGTGTATGGACTGCTGTCAGTGTGGTGTCTCCATACCTACCCAACCTAACATACTGCTCTCCAAACTTCCTGCTCAAGCCCAACCAAGCTCAGCCCTGCTTCTAAACATCCTATTAATTCCTGCCTTCATGTTTTTCTATGCAGTCTCCTCCCTACATGAAATGTCCTTTTTTATATTCTTTCAAGTCTCAGTAAAATCCTACCTCTACCACGAAGTCCTCTTTTATTGCTCTAGGCCATGGTGTCTAATCCCCATCGCTGCAGCTCATGATTAAGCTTCCTTCTTTTATATTAGGTCTTTTCTCATGTGTGCTCTCTGTTCTCACCAAGCCTGCCAGCTGTTTGACAAGAAGGGCTAGATTGTTGCCTCCAGTCCTTGGGAACTCTTCCAGATGAGTGATGTGCGTGGCTCTAGTTAGCACATGTCTGTCCTTTAACAATGAGCAGAGCAGGTCTGGGGTGCTGCTGCCCTCTGTCTCTGTTGTGGAGCTTACCCAGCGAGGCGGCGTGTAAAAGGCAGTTCCCATCCCCTGTAGTGGCCAAAGGAAGAAGCCGTTTACAGCTTGTGCACACAGTGGACCACCAGTTCAGGCGACCTGAAACAGAAGCGCACTTTAGAAGAGAATCCCAGAACAGAGCATTTGAATGTTTGCTAAGTAAGCATAGACATCAGCAGATGATTTTTGAGAGGGTTCTAGAAAACTTCAGTGGGAAGGTAGAACATTATGGCTATTTTCCCTCTAGGATAAGAAACAGCCAAATCCTCCCATCAACTAGCAAGAGGATTAAGAAACTCAAGGGCAAAGACTGTTCTCCTTGAATTCGGGAACATTTTACACACGCACACAAATAAAAGTTTCTCTGTAATTTCCTTGAACACAGTTTCCCTTTCTGAAAGTTATTATTTTTTTTCTCATGTACCATCCTTTTTTGATGCGTACACACCTCCAAAAGTATGGTTTACATTTAATTTAACACATCCAAACCATTATAGCTACTTAGGTATATCCCTGCTAAATCTCATTAACACATCCAGAGACTTCTGCTTCCAGGAAGATGAAGTAGACATATTTTCTTCTATTCCTTCTCTTAAGTACAACTGAAAATCCTGGACATCATGTGTAAAATAGCACAGGAAGACTTAAAAGTAGAGGAAGAGGCAGACTGACCAGGAACCTTGGGATCTGAGAAATAAATGGTGGTAGCTCTCTGGAGTTTCTTTTTGCACCCAAATCCCAGACCAGATATTGGAAACGTTGGCAACCTGGAGACACCAATGGAGGCAAAGGAATTATACTCTCTAGACAGTACACAAGGAAAGGGGAAACTTAGGAAGACAGACAGTAACTGCTCTATTTCAGTCAAGTGCCACAGAAGAAGCTACAGCTCATCATCATCCCTGCCAGCAAAGGCCAAGTGGGAAGCTGAAACTTCCAACCTTAAGAGGCATAATGAGCCACTCACCACCCATTCCCCCAGTGCCAGATGGTGTCAGAGAAGGCTGAAAGCATTGCCAGCTCTTCAGTCCTGCTAGGTGATAATATGGACTCCACCCCCTACCGATCAAGAACATATGGGGCACTTGGCCTTTCACACCCATCTGGTAGTAATGACGTCCCTCTGCTCCCTCCCAGCAGTAACAAGAAGCCCATGCATCCACAGGTGTCAACAAAGGCAGAGTGGAGAACCTGTGTTTCCACCTTATTCTGGCAGTTATTACCAATCTACAACTTCAGACCTCAAATGAACAGAAAGGGATAACCCATCAGACCTGAAGTAAAGAATACTAAAGGGATTCAGTAGAGAATACCGCAGGGCACAAAGAAGGAATAAAGGGCTTGAAAAGGCATGTACATTGGTAAATGTAAATAAATACTGACTGTTTAAAACAATATCAGAGATGCCTTTTTGAGGATTAAAGTATATGTAAAATTAAAATACATGACAGCAGTAACACAAAATATGGAAATGTGTAATAAATGACATAAATCTTAAGATCCTTACATTGATTAGGAAGTGGTAAAAGGGCCAAATTAAAGTACATTCTAATATCTTGACAGTGGGTTTTGGAAATTGTAGGGTAACGACTAAGAGAATAATAAAAGAACATATAATTGATAAGCTAGTAGTGGGGAAACCAGAATAATAAATATTCTTAAATAATTCAAAAGACTATAAGAGAGAAGAAAAAAGAGACACAATAAGACACAAATAAAATACATAGCAAGATAATGAATTTGAAACAAAATATATCAATATTTATATTAAATGTGAGTAAACTAAATACTCCAATTAAGAGACAGAGATTGTCAACCTTGTTCAAAAAAAAAAAAAAGACAAGTATATGCTGCTGACAGAAAACACCATAAACATAATGACACAGAAATATAACTGTAACTAGGTAGAGAAAGATACACCATTCAAAAACTAAGCAAAGGGGCTCCTAGGTAGCTCAGCTGGTTAAGTGTCTGACTCTTGATTTTGGCTCAAGGTCACGCTTTCATGTTTTATGAGATTGAGTCTCATGTTAGGCTCTGCACTGATGGCATTGAGCCTGCTTGGGATTCTCTCTTTCCCTCTCTCTCTGCCCCTCACCCCTCATGTTCTTACTCCATCTCTCAAAATAAATAAATTTTTAAAAACCTGTGAAAAACAAAACAAAACAAAAAAAAAAGACTAAGCAAAAATAAAGCTAGTGAAGCCCTACTGATCTCAGATGTTGGTGACATTTTTTTTTATAGTTTATTGTCAAGTTGATTTCCATATAACATCCAGTGCTCATCCCCACAATGTTGGTGACATTATTAAGGCACAGGATAAAGAGGGACTGGGTGGCTCAGTCGGTTAAGCGTCTGACTCAGCTCAGGTTGGTGGGTTTGAGCCCCGCATTAGGCTCTGTGCTGACAGCTAGCTCAGAGCCTGCAGCCTGGTTCAGATTCTGTGTCTCTCTTTCTGACCCTCCCCTGCTCATGCTGTCTCCCTCTATCTCTCAGAAATAAATAAAACATTTTATTTATTTATTTTTTTAAATATTTTTATTTATTTCTAGGAGAGAGAGAGAAAGAGAGAGAGACAGCGTGAACAGGGGAGGGTCAGAGAGAGAGGGAGATACAGACTCTGAAATAGGCTCCAGGCTCTGAGCTGGCAGTCAGCACAGAGCCCGACGCGGGGCTTGAACCCACGAACCATGAGATCATGACTTAAGCGAAAGTCAGACGCTTAACCGACTAAGCCACCCAGGCACCCCAAAATAAATAAAACATTTTAAAAAATTTTAAAAAGAGGGATATTTCATAATGATAATACAGTAAAGTCAAATGGAAAATATAAAAACACTTAATGTGCATATACCTAAGACAGTCTAAAATATATATAAAGCAAAAATTGATAGACCCGAGAAAGAAATAAACCCACAGTCAAAACTGGAGATGTTTAACCAAACTCTCTGGATAAATGATAGACTCAACAAACGAAAACTTCAGTAGAGATTAGATAAACATAATTCAAGAACCTGATCTAATATATAGGTAAACTTGACATATATACAACACTTCACCCACTGACTGAAAAGTAATCACATATTTTTTTCAAGTCACATGGAATATTTTCCAATATTGACCACATATTGGGCCATAAAAAAGTGTCAACAAACTTCACAGGATTTGAAATCATTTATAGTATGTGCTCTGGTCATACTAAAAATAAGCTAGAAATCAATGAGAAAAATTAAAAAAAAGTAGTCATCTTGGGTATCTTCTATAACAAAATACCACAGACTGGGTAGCTTAATCCACAGACATATTTCTCACAGCTGTAGAGGCAGGAAGTCCCAGACTGAAGTGCTGGCTGATGTGGTTCCTGGTCAGAACCCTCTTCCAGGTTTGTAGGTGGCAGACTTCTTACTGTGCCCTCTCATGGTGGAAAGTGAGCTCTGATCTATTCCTCCTTTTGTAAGGACACTAATCCCATCATGGGGGCCCCATCCTCATGACCTTATTTAAATTTAATTACCTCTTAAAGGACCTACTGCCAAATACCATCACACTAAGGATCAAGGGTTCCAACATAGGGATTTACGGGGAGATACAAACATTCAGTCCATAACAGTACCTTAGTAAGGCAGTTTGTTCACTGAATGTGGCTGTCCCCCTAGGGGACTACTCTGACTCTCAACTGCTTTCTGGAGAATGAGCAAGATGAATAGGATAGGGGTTATATAAATCTGTTTTGAAAATTCAATTCCTTCCTGACCCCTTATGGCCATGTTGCTTCATTTTATTCCTGTAGTGGCAACTCCAGACTGGCATGTCTGGCACATCCTCTGGATGGCAGTTTAGCCAAAAGGGAACCTAGGAGATTCAGGCTTAGTTATGATTCAGTTTTATAAAAATACTTTGTCCTTTTTTTTTTTTTCAGTATATGTGCTGCTGAAGTGAGCATAATACTTTTGTCCAGTTGTGATTAGGAAGAGGTTGAAAAAAAATAGGTAAGTTACAGGCACTGTGATGGCATATGCCAATTTTGTGATAGAGAGGAGAAGCACAACTCTAGCATGTGGGGAAAGAACATTCCATACTGCAGAATGCATGGAAGAGGGAGGTACATTGATCAGCTTTTATTTCTCTGGGCCACAGGAAGGTTTCCACAAGAAGAAAAATGCTCCCATGGGATGTCCCAGATTTTGCACGTGCCTCAACTACAACAGAATCTCTCTCCTGTGACCGAGAAGTCTCAGGTTTTCTGCCAGTAAAATTTTGGACATCTCACAGTTGTTGACACAAAAGAGCAGCCTCATCAAATACAAAGTTTACTATCCATCAAGGGGGGAAGGTCCCACAAAATACAACAGGATGAGTTGAAAGTATTAAAGAACAGGAATGAACATAAAGTAGCTTGAGCCTTACCAGAACTGAAACCCAGCTTCAACCCATCTGTCTGTGACCAGAGTAAGCTAATCAGCCACCAGCAGGGGAAGGGTACACCATTTCTAGAGGAGGATAATATCATTTGGGGTCTCTGAAATTTTATATTCACAAGGTCTATAAGGCACACAAAAATTACTAGGTATGCCAAATCCAAACAAAAACAAAAAACAAAACCCAACCAAACAAAATCCCCAAGAGTAACTAACTGAAAACCAAAAGGGAAAAATGAAGTAACAGAAAAGGCATGCAGATTATCCAAATTTTGAAGTTATCTGACAGAGACTTTAAGTCATTTAATTAGTATGTTCAAGAGAATAGAAAAAATGGGGCAGAAACAATATCTGAATAGATAAATCATCAAGAATTTTCTAAAACTGGTTAAAGACAATTTTTAGAGGATCTGTAAGTTTTAAAAAGAATAAATACAAAGTAAATGGCATATAGTGAAACTGCTGAAAATTGAAGAGAAATCTTAAAAGCAGAGGAAAAAGGGAACTATTACACACCAGGGGGAAAAGTAACATAAGCCTACACACAGTGGAATGACACCATCAAAGTGCTAAAAGAAAATAACCTCTAAGCTAGAGTTCTATACCCAGGAAAACTATCTTTCAACACTGAAATTGGCAGGAACATAAGGTAACTTCCTCAATCTGGTCAAGTCATCTACA